ATAAAGCAAATATATGCTTTATATGTGTCACCTTGCATTCGAAAAGTATTCAGCCTTATTCTAAAACTGATTAAATTGTTAGATTTAACAGTGTGTAGATTGATGAGGAAAAAAATTAATCTCATCCATTTTAGAATAAGGCTGTAAGGTCACAAAATGTGGAAAAGTCAAGGGGTCTGAATACATTCCGAATGCACTGTATTATTCAGATGACATTGCAATGTAAAATGATAGAGATTATGTAGTACGCAAATAGCAACTGTGGCGTTTTTGTGGTGTAGTCCTTCAATTTGCATGACCCCTAATATTGAACGAGGTGATGAGCGATTGCAAGCAGTGCAGAAGATCGCATATTTCGCGTTTGGCACAGAAGTGTCCATTTGTTTTTTTTATACACTCGAGTCTATAATTGGGTAAATTGGACGTAGCCTAATCAGAATCCCTCAACACCGCTTTCATTCAAAATTCAAGTGAATTTCATAGGAATTACAATAGTAATCATTAGCCTTTTCACAATTGAATTATTTTACAGAAGTTGTGGCACACAGTCAGTGAAGGATGCAGAGGGGCTTCACTTACATCGCAATGAAAACTAACATCAGAATACTACTTTGTCAAAGCATGCGTTATATTTTTTAATTACCTTGCATTTCTGAAGCCCCGCTGAAGCCCAAGAGAAGCGCCGCGCTAGCAAGCAGCAAACTTAGCATAAGCCTCCCCATATCCATCCTCAAGGCACAACGTTTAGGAACGTTCCCCAAATAACCTAATGTCTAACTTTTCAACTGTGCCTCCACCGAAAAAAAAAAAAACGTGTGTGAAGACTTCTCGACCGGCACGCTGACCAGCGCCTATGGGGTTGTCAAGGAGTTTTGGCTCACACAGTAGCACTCTCAGCGCGCCAGGCAGAAGAATGCTTCGGGGTGAAGGTGAAAGATGTCAGCGGGTCTCGCTCGTGATCCGCGCAACTTTCCTCATCTCCCAAATGAGAAACATGAGTTGGGCTGCGAGCTACTACAGACAGTGACAGGGCAAGATAACGATGCTTGTCAATCAAATGAAAAGTTTTACATGTATCTGTGCGCTCGTTGTCTCCAGCTTGCATAGCCTAATGATAAACAGAAAATTATTCACACGAAATGAAAAAATAAGACTGCTTACTGTACATGACTGCAATCACACTGCATTTTTTTATTATGGTGCAATGAGTCAGTTTCATTTGTGTGCATAAGATGTGTATCATTCCCTTACAAAAAAAGATTGCAGTTTTGAAACTGCAGTAATAGTGCAGTAACTGCAGTCGACTGTGGTATTTTGGACTCAGTAATTACAGCATACTGCAGTTATACTGCACTCTAACTGCAGTTATACTGCACTGTACTGCAGTTATACTGCACTGTACTACAATATTTGTTTTGTAAGGGTTGAGCTCTCCTAAATAAGGGATATTCATTTAACAATAGCACAATTTTATAAAAAAAAATAATCCCACAGGATCGATTTGACAATCCTACTAAACCAGGGCCAACAGCCAAACCTGACCCGTGACAACATTTCGTATGACCTGCCAGCGGCTTCCAGAATTATCTTATGTATTTATGAACACTTGTTTTCTTGTCTTTTGGCCCAAGTACCACTGTTGAGATTATGTCATGGCTTTGGGCTTGTGCCTTCAAGTTGTACTTTTATTTTCAAAAAAATAAAGTAGTTGTATATTGATTATTGATTCTTGAGAGACTGTTTAAACTAAAGTACAGTTAGTGTGATTGATCTAATCCATATGTTATCTCTCATTGGCAATGTTTTGGCCTGCATTGTACAAAATGGCAACACAGACAGGTCAAAAGGTTAATGTAGAGACAAAACATATGGTGAAAATAATATCCCCCTCCTCGTAGTTGTTGCCTCAAATGTAGCTCATCATAGAAGACACAAACATTGTTGTCAGTTGGAGCCATTTATCAGCATATTACTGAGTGTGTATGTATTTCACTGTTTATATGCTTCAGTTCAACCCCAGAATGGCAAGAACCAGGGCTTGTTCAGGAGAGTGTAACGTAACATAACATTCAGATATAAATGTTTTGTGGAGACAATATATGATTGTCTGCCATACGCAGTGGTCTAAGGCACTGCATCGCAGTGCTAACTGTGCCACTAGAGATCCTGGTTCGAATCCAGGCTCTGTCGCAGCCGGCCGCGACGGGAGACTCATGGGTGGCGCACAATTGGCCCAGCGTCGTCCAGGGTAGGGGAGGGAATGGCCGGCAGGGATGTAGCTCAGTTGATAGAGCATGGTGTTTGCAACGCCAGGGTTGTGGGTTCGATTCCCACGGGGGGCCAGTATAAAAAAATAAAAATAAAAAATAAAAATGTATTCACTAACTGTAAGTCGCTCTGGATAAGAGCGTCTGCTAAATGACTAAAATGTAAATGTAGAGTAACGGATTGTGTCTGATGCTCTATTTATTACGTTTGTACACTACATGGCCAAAGGTATGTGGACAACTGCTCGTCGAACATCTCATTCCAAAATCATGGGCATTAATATAGAGTTGGTCCCCCCTTTGCCTTCACTCTTCTGGGAAGGCTTTCCACTAGATGTTGGAACATTGCTGCGGGGACTTGCTTTCATTCAGCCACAAGAGCATTAGTGAGGTCGGGCACTGATGTTGGGTGATTAGGCCTGGCTTGCAGTCAGCGTTCCAATTCCTCCCAAAGGTGTTCGATGGGGTTGAGGTCAGGGCTCTGTGCAGGCCAGTCAAGTTCTTCCACACCGACCTTGACAAACCATTTCTGTACGGACCTCGCTATGTGCATGGGGGCATGGTCATGCTGAAACAGGAAAGGGCATTCCCCAAACTGTTGCCACAAAGTTGGAAGCACAGAATTGTCTAGAATGTCATTGTATGCTGTAGCGTTAAGATTCCCCTTCACTGGAACTAAGGAGCCTGAACCATGAATAACAGCCCCAGACCATTATTCCTCCTCCACCAAACTTTACAGATGGCACTATACATTGCGGAAGGTAGAGCTCTCCTGGCATCCGCCAAACACAGATTCATCCGTCGGACTACCAGATGGTGAAGCGTGATTCATCACTCCAGAGAACACGTTTCCACTGCTCCAAAGTCCAATGGCAGCGAGCTTTACACCACTCCAGCTGACACTTGGCATTGTACATGGTGATCTTAGGCTTGTGTGCGGCTGCTCGGCCATGGAAACCCATTTCATGAAGCTCCCGATGAACAGTTCTTGTGCTGACGTTGCTTCCAGAGGCAGTTTGGAACTCGGTAGTGAGTGCTGCAATCGAGGACAGACGATATTTACGAGCTACGCGCTTCAGCGGTCCTGTTCTGTGAGCTTGTGTGGCCTACCACTTAGCGGCTGAGCAGTTGTTGCTCCTAGACGTTTCCACTTCACAAGAACAGCACTTACAGTTGACCAGGACAGCTCTAGCAGGGCAGAAATCTTACGAATTGACTTGTTGGAAAGGTGGCATTCTGAGCTCTTCAGTCAGGCCATTCTACTGCCAATGTTTGTCTATGGAGATTGCAAGGCTGTGTGCTCGATTTTATACACCTGTCAGCAATGGGTGTGGCTGAAATAGCCAAATCCACTAATTTGAAGGGTGTCCACATACTTTTGTAGTGTAGTGTATCTACAATAGATGCGTAAAAAAGTTCAATTGATCTAACAATGCGAATATTCATCAAATCCGTCATGATTTATGTATTGTAACAGGCCCACAACATGAATATTAAAGTCAGATTTGGATATATTTGGCTGTTTTCTCTGCATAACATTTAGAAGTAGTCCCTTTTCAGTTTAGAAGAAGTGACTGCTAAATGCTAACTCCCGTTCATTATAAGCTGGTAGCATAGCTAGCATAAAGAAATCGGTGGTGGAATTCAAAGTCGTTTTTTAACTTTAATGCAGTTGTTTGGTCATGATGACAAACATATATTAGGGTTGACATCCATACAAGCATTATACTCCGATTTTTACCTCAACATAGTGTGAAATACCATAAACAATATCCTAAATGTAGGCTAATTTTGCTGGGGGGCAATGAGGAGATTCGGGATCTTTACCCCACGGTATCTTTCCCATGGCATTTCCATTGTTTTGATGAGTTCCATTGACCTCTTTACTGCATCTATGTTCTGTACGTTTCATGCCACTGACAACACCCCACACACCAGGATACAAAATGGTAGGACAGAAAGGAGAATTCTGACAAGCAATAATAGAGTGTTGAGTGGTAAAGAAACATGGGTGCCACAAAAGAGCATACATTTAACGCTACTCCGTCCAAATCACAGGAAAGGAAGAGGGACAGCATTCTGTTCCACTCAGTGCTATTCCATCTTACAGTCTACTGGTTAATTGCATAGGGCTGGGAAGCAGAGCTGTACAGAATCATTATTTCCCAAAACCAAACCATATGCATGTTTTAATGTCACCTTTCTTTGGGTGATCGATAAAAATAATACTCAGTTCATGAGGCAAACTATAAATAATGTTTTTTTCCCTTCTCTATTGTGACAGAAACATTCTCTGTGTTACCCTAAAGTCCCCTTGGAAAGATTTCAAACAATTTAAAGAATAACTTTCAGTGAAATATCTCTGCTCTACTGTATAATTCTGTCTAATATGTTTTCCATTGTGATTTTAGGGGTTAAAAAAAGGAAAGGCATACCATTCTTCAATTATATTAAAGCTTCCTTGAAGATTCTGAGACAAGAAAAGGTATGCCTTCCTGGATGTCGAGAAAACAAAAATCAAGCACCAAAAAAAGAGACGGCCCAACTAGGCATGTTGGTGGATGCCAAGAGTAGTTTGTTCTGACAAAGGATTATCGTGCATTGTGGGAGATTGAGATTTTTGAGGAACGTAATCCTGGTTCCCCTATTGCAGTACACAGAATAAATCTGAGAACGTCCATTTTCCCCTCACAACGTCTCTTTATCCCTAGTCCTGCACGGAGCTAGTACTGCTCATTCCTCTTCCTCCTCCTCGATGTGGCGGGGTCCCACTAGCGCTGCCTGCGGTCGTACATGCTGGATGCTGACGATCCCCATCAAAATGGCATAGCCCAGCATCGAGCCCATGGCGAACAGGACCGACAGGATTTGGTTGCGTCGTTTATTGGGCTCGTTGTCAAAGTCACTACTGTCCGAATAGACTGACACCTTGTGACTGAGTGGCTCTAAAACAGAGAAGACAAAATGGGATGAGAGCCAAAGAGCAGAAAGAATGAAGTCTCTGCACACAGCGGATCCTAACAAAACCAGTTTTTTGCAATTGATTCTTAATACAGTTCGAGTTTTCAGTGTTTTGGAGTTGAGTATCAGACTGCTAGACTAGGTACTCAAGATCAATACTTCTCAACTCTGGTTCTCGAGTATCCCAAACAGTACAACTTTTTTATACAACCAGTCAACCAATCATTCACTTGACTTGACTAGTAAAAATCAGGTGTGTTTGCCCTGTGCTACAACAAAAATGTGTGTACTGTTGGGGGTACTACTCGAGGAACGGAGTTGAGAAATAATACTCCAGGGAACTTACCTCCGCCCTCTGAGGGGAAATAGAGGACCAGGATGTTGGTGCAGTAGTGCCGCAGGTTGTCCAGGTAGTTGAGGTGTTGGTGGAGTTTCCCATTAGGCAGCTTCACCATCAGGAGGGGGGCTAGGTGACCGAACACATAGGCATCCAAAGAGGATGGGCTGGGGAGACAATGCACAAATGGGCTTCATCATGACAGTATAAACACTCATATGAAAGACAGTGTGGCTTTTGACCTTAGCCGACGTTCACAGAATTTGCTTCGCATGAAAACATGTGTTATACATGCAATTTAGCATAAACATTTAACATAATTTGCATTTTGTGCACAGCAGCCACTTACGAATCCCCAAAGAAGAACTTGTGTGAGCCCAGGCGTTGAGAGAGCAGGGTCATGCACTCCAGCGCGTCATAGTAGAGCTGTGGAGGAGATGCAAAGCCCCCAGTCAACCATCAGCATGGACACATAGAAGCATTCACAGCCTGATCAGCTGTATTTCCATTTATGAAAAAGGTCATCAGCAAGCAAGTGCACATGGAGCTTATTTATGACCCATCCCTCAATGAAGCCAGAACATTGTTATGTGTACAGTTAGTTAAACCAGGGATGGGCAACTCCGGTTCTCCCCGAGAACCGGAGTGCCCATCCCAGAGTTACAAACCGAGTCAATGCACATGTTGATATAGCATAAACATATATATAATTACAGACTATTTTAGGGTGGGATCTTTGAGAACAATACCCCTTTATTATTAAACCCGCCCTGAAACCATCTCACTAATTATTCCTGAATGTGGTTACCATGGAGATGACCCGCCTGACCCAATTACCACGTGTTGTGAAAACACAGACTGTTTTGGCTTTTTTAAATTACTATGAACTACCCTCTCCACGTCAGGGTACCAAAGAGCCAATCCATCGGCCTCTCTTTGGTAATAGCTAGCTGCTATTTTCAATGTGGACTCCTTTGATGATAGTCCATCCATCTCTTCTTTCTCACTGTCTGAATTATGTCAACTCTTTGTTCCTCTCTTCTGCGTCACCCTCCTTTTCCTTACCTTCCATCTCACACAATACCCCATAATGTAAAAGTGGCATTATGTTTTTTGAATTTTTACAAATTAATTAACAATCAAAAGCTGAAATGTCTTGAGTCAATAAGTATTCAACCCCTTTGTTATGGCAAGCCTAAATAAGTTCAGGAGTAAAAATGTGCTTAACAAGTCACATTATACGTTGCATGGACTCTGAGTGTGTGCAATAATAGTGTTAAACACGATTTTTGAATTACTACCTCATCTCCGTACCCCACACATACAATTGTCTGTAATGTCTCTCAGTCGAGCAGTGAATTTCAAGCACAGATTCAACCACAAAGACCAGGGAGGTTTTCCAATGCCTCGCAAAGAAGGGCACCTATTGGTTGATGGGTAAAAAAAAAGCAGACATTGAATATCCCTTTGAGCATGGTGAAGTCATTAATTACACTTTGGATGGCGTATCAATACACCCAGTCACTACAAAGATACAGGCGTCCTTCCTGACTCAGTTGTCGGAGAGGAAGGAAACCGCTCAGGGATTTCACCATGAGGCCAATGGTGAATTTAAAACAGTTACATGGCTGTGATAGGAGAAAACAGAGGATGGATCAACATTGAAGTTACTCCACAATACTAACCTAATTGACAGAGTGAAAAGAAGGAAGCCTGTACAGAATACAAATATTATTATGCATCCTAAAGTAATACTGCAAAAAAATTGGCAAAGCAATTCACTTTTTGTCCTGAATACAAAGTGTTATGTTTGGGGCAAATCCAATACAACACATTACTGAGTACCACTCTCCATATTTTCAAGCTTAGTGGTGGCTGCATCATGTTATGGGTATGCTTGTAATCGTTAAGGACTGGGGGGGTTTACTGGGAGGGGGGGGGGGGGGGGGGGGGTTCAGGATAAAAAAGAAACAGAGTGGCGCTAACAACAGGCAAAATCCTAGAGGAAAAGCTGGTTCAGTCTGCTTTCCACCAGACACTGGGAGATGAATTCATCTTTCAGCAGGACAATAACCTAAAACAAAAGGCCATATCTACACTGGAGATGCTTACCAAGAGGACAGTGAATGTTCTTGAGTGGGCGAGTTTTTACTTAAATCTGCTTGGAAATCTAAGGCAAGACTTAAAGATGGTTGTCTAGCAATGATCAACAACCAATTTGACAGAGATTGAAGAATTTTGAAAATAATAAATGTTGTTGAATCCAGGTGTGCAAAGCTGTTAGAGACATACCCAGAAAGACTCACAGCTGTAATCACTGCCAAATGTGATTCTAACATCTATTGACTCAGGGGTGTGAATACTTATGTAAATTAGATATTTCTGTATTTCATTTTCAATAAATTCTGCAAAAAAAGTATAAAAACATGTTTTCACTTTGTCATTATGGGGTATTGTGTGTAGATGGTTGACAATTTTTTTTATCAATTTTGAATTCAGGCTGTAACAACAAAATGTAGAATAAGTCAAGGGGTATGAATACTTTCTGAAGGCACTTTAAATGGCTGGAGGGGAATAGAGGGGGCAGGTGCCATAGATTGCGACCATACAGTACTCGCTAGAGCAGTGGTCACCAACCAGTCGATCGCGATCGTTCCTGTAAAGAAAACAACGATAAAAGCCTTGCGTTCCTATTTTTTATTTGTTTCGCGCTGTTGGAGGTAGGTGCACTGGATTTAACAGCCCTAGCGCCGGGAAAGCAAAGTGTTCCCATTTTGAACCATTTCATGTGTCTGAAGATAGAACTCCGCCTACCCGGAAGGCCCAGAGAGCAAATCAAGTGCACCTACAGTATAGGCCTACCGCTGGCCAATCAGATAGCTCAGATCACCGTGTCTGCACAGTTTATTCGAACCATAGACTGTAAAAAGAAGCCTCGAACGCACAGCAAAGTTGATACTGTGAGATTTCAAAACCATGACTAGAGAGACTCAATGAATACAGCAAAGAGTTGCTGTGTTTATGAGTAAGTTAATGTTTAAGTTGTTATTCAGCACTATCAACACTCTGTTCAACACTTTTATAAGCCATAAAATGCTACAACCAGCACTGCAGCTGCAATATATGAGTATAGCAAAGTATTCTGATAAGCTTGCGCTGTTATTATTAGCGGCTTGTGTCTTTTTTAATATCGAGGAATATTTCACTTTCTCTGGTCATAGGAGTAACAACATTAATTTGTACATGAGGCAGAAATAATGCAGGGCGACTTAAGTTTCGCCATAAGCTGGAAGACTGTGTTCCCTTTTCTCAGTGGAGGAAGGGAGAGAGAAGGGACGGTGAGTCGGGTGAGAGGCAGCCTCACCACTGCTCCCTCCCTCCCCTCAGACTGACCATCAGATGCAGGCCATCAGTCCAGTAAAACAAATAAGCAAATGATTATGCTCACTTAGCTGTGCCTCAATTAATGCAACAAATGATGTATTACCATTGTGATCATATACCAAAATTGTTGAAATATAATTTCAAAATGGTCTGAGAAGAACAGCATTGGCAGATAATTCAAGCACAGTCAATATGCAGTAAGAATGTATTGGGCCTATAGCCTACTGCACAAACCTCATTGCTACAGAACTGTTTTTAAATGGTTAATGTTGCATAGGCTTAGGTTTTTTAAGTCATGTTTTAAAAAAATCTGAGCAGTAGATCTCAGCTTGCATTTTGACTCAGAAAGTGATCTTGACTCAGAAAAGGTTGGTGACCACTGGCTAGAGCAACTACATACAGCAAATGATGATCAAAGGGCACTTTATAGATCCAACACTACAATGAAGATCAAATGCACCTTTTTTCAAAACACGCCTGTGAATTAAGAGGACAGGACCACCCTGACTTTCCAACAGTTGATCCTTTTGGCTAGGAATCCTATTTTGAAATCTGGATGTTTGACGACATAATGCATGCAATTTAACCAGGGGCACAACAGTATTTAACCTGACCATCTTGGGGTCCCATTTCCCTAATCGTAAGGCCATACTGCTGCTTTATTCCCAGAGGCTCGCTGCAGATGCAAGGGGTCACCCCAGGTGTCGTCGAAGGTACTTGAGACTCTTCCGCTTGCTTCTAGACGCATCTCCTTCCACCCTGAGACACAATGTCTGTCGTCCGTTACATTACCGCCCTCTTTTACACAGGATGCCAGATACTTTTATACACAAAATGCGGCACAGGTTGGCTACGGTAAACTTATGAGGATTCTCCGCAGGGCCCAAAGAGTAAACACAGGCAAGCCAAGCCTGTCTTGCTCCATCACTGTCCCTGAGCCATGTTCCAATGTCCATACTAACCTACTACTAAGAATACATGCCCAATACATTGCTGCACGCTAAGTGGTATGCTAGAATGGAAATTCAACATGGCCATAGAGATGGGTACTATCGCTGCTAGTCAATGCTCAATTAAGCTTCAAAAGTTTTTAAGACTTCAAAGGCTTTGACGATGAATGCCTACTTCCCCTTCAACCTTAAGCTGAGTAGAAGTGAAATATTTCCCAGTTCTAAAGCATATTTCACAATAGCTTACTATTCTTGTAATATTAAGAGAGCAATTGCATTACCAAGACATAACCTGGCATTTAACCTTGCTCATGGAAGGTCATGCCAGGCGAAAGCATTTAGAAAGGTGCTATCTATTAAGAGTGGGTCAGACAAAGTTTCTTTTCGCTTTTTCAATGACTTGAAAGCGTTCCTGAATCCACAGGGGTACCTCCTCCGACTCCTCCCCCTGGCACAGACTAAAAGAGCCGAGACCTTTGATATTTTTTTTTATCATCAACCACTGCCGAAAGGCGATAATGGGAATGTTAAAATGTGGGGATGGTTTGTGTATGTGTTGATCCCATGCCCCTGCTTTAGCATGATCTGCTACACCATAGCCACCCTTTACCCGCTCTTTCTCTTCTCACTTCCCTTTTCTTTTTCTCTGTTCAACATGGTATGTGAACAGAGAGAAACGATCTACTAACTGTCATCTCTTTCCTCCCTCCCTAGCCCTCTCCACATGCAGAAGCTATCTCTCCAATGCAGGCAGCAGTTTCTCCTCCAGTAGTGACACAAAGGCCAGAGTGTCTGCCCCTTCCTTGGCTGAGAGGTCATAGTCAGCGTTGTATTTCTGAAAGACAGGACAGTCAGCCACTTAGTTTAGATATTGGGAAATCAGGTCCTAGATGAGAGCATGGATGCATGGTCTCCCTTACAAAAGAGTCCATTGAATTCACCAGGAAAAAAGGCATTGCAAAAGTTCTGATGAAAAGGCCTTTACAAAGCTCAAAGAATGTGTTCAACATCCACTGAAGTAGCTAGCAAGTTTACTAGATAGCTACAGTACAGTGGAGGCTGCTGAGGGGAGGACGGATCATAATAATGGCTGGAACGGAGCCTATGGAATGGCATCAAACACATGGAAGCCATGTGTTTGATACCATTACACTTATTCCGCTCCAGCCATTACCACAAGCCCGTCCTCCCCAATTAAGGTGCCACCAACCTCCTGTGCTATAGTAGTTGCCTTGGTAATCAAAGAAACAGACTTGCTAGTTTAGCTAGCCAAACCATCAGTCCTAGCTTACCATTATGAAAATCTAATTCAACAATGCCAATAATGTTTTCAATTTGACTTTTGCTTTCAAAAGTACAGTAGCTCAATAGAACATGCAAGAATGAACTATAGCCATTGGATTCTACCGTGCTGTATACCATGTGTTATAGGGTAATAATCCACGCTCTAGAATGCCCTTCAAGCTAATCAGAAACAAGTATTCAACAATGCCATGATATAAGAAGGTTTAAAACAGGGAAAACCAACTGTGATCTTTAGGAGTAAAGTGCTGCCAGCTTATTCTGTAGTGTAAATTTGAGCACTAAAGTTTGAGCACTGTGGGCAAGACAAAGTCTTGCACCACAAACCATCTATTAAAAACCTTGCTACCAAAAGAAAGACCATGGCAATCAGCAGTGTCAATAAATGGAAGGCTCCTAGAAGGACACCTTAACTTACCACTCATCCTTTGTCCACTTCCTCTACCCATGGACCCTTTGTCAGGACTCATTGACCATAAACCTCTTTGCCAAGACGCATAACTGTCAAACTGCTTCCCTAAGCCACAATAACTATAAAACACTTTGCTAAGACCAAAGACTTAACTAAATGCCATGACCCTGACTTGCACACCTTGTAAACAAATGTCCTATGAAGTTTTACATTGTCAGCGTCCAAAGAAAAGTATAATGAAAGCAATTGAAAGCAGTCATCCATTTATAAATACTGTGAACACTAAGGCCAATATAAGTATTTGAAAACACCATTTGAATTTGAACGGCGCGCCTTTAGACCCATTTCCTATGGTGAAAGATCATTGTTTTTTCAAATTTCTTGAAAAAACACAAGCTTTTCATAGGACTTCAATGAGCCGGTCCCAATTCGATCCCTACCACTCCACTTTGGCCCTCACCTCTCAATCTGTAAGGTGGAAGCAATACGGTGGACGCTTTACCACAACACTGCTAAACAAACAAGATAAAATCTTCTGTTGCACAATCTGAGGGATATACTACAAAGCAGGATCAATTAGTTAACTTTGATAAAGAACCAGAAATAACTATTGATTGATTTCTGAAAGCTAAACTTGTTTTTGAGTCAATTAGATCAGCGTTTCCCAAACTTGGTCCTGGGGCCCACCCTGGGTGCACGTTTTGGTTTTGCGCTAGCACTACACAGCTGATTCAAATAACCAACTTATCATCAAGCTTTGATTATTTGAATCAGCTGTGTAGTGCTAGGGCAAAAACCAAAATATGCACCGCGGGGGAGGGGAGAATGGACCGAGTTTGGGAAACCCTGAATTAGACCATGTTCATTTCAAGCTTATCTTTCTAAAAAATATATATAACTACAGTGAGGGAAAAATGTATTTGATCCCCTGCTGATTTTGTACGTTTGCCCACTGACAAACACATGATCAGTCTATAATTTTAATTGTAGGTTTATTTGAACAGTGAGAGACAGAATAACAACAAAACAATCCAGAAAAATGCGTGTCAAAAATGTTATAAATTGATTTGCATTTTAATGAGGGAAATAAGTATTTGACCCCCTCTCAATCAGAAAGATTTCTGGCTCCCAGGTGTCTTTTATACAGGTAACGAGCTGAGATTAGGAGCACACTCTTAAAGGGAGTGCTACTAATCTCAGCTTGTTACCTGTATAAAAGACACCTGTCCACAGAAGCAATCAATCAATCAGAATCCAAACTCTCCACCATGGCCAAGACCAAAGAGCTCTCCAAGGAAGTCAGGGACAAGATTGTAGACCTACACAAGGCTGGAATGGGCTACAAGACCATCGCCAAGCAGCTTGGTGAGAAGGTGACAACAGTTGGTGTGATTATTCGCAAATGGAAGAAACACAAAATAACTGTCAATCTCCCTCGGCCTGGGGTTCCATGCAAGATCTCACCTCGTGGAGTTGCAATGATCATGAGAATGGTGAGGAATCAGCCCAGAACTACACGGGAGGATCTTGTCAATGATCTCAAGGCAGCTGGGACCATAGTCACCAAGAAAACAATTGGTAACACACTACGCCGTGAAGGACTGAAATCCTGCAGCGCCTGCAAGGTCCCCCTGCTCAAGAAAGCACATATACAGGCCCATCTGAAGTTTGCCAATGAACATCTGAATGATTCAGAGGAGAACTGGGTGAAAGTGTTGTGGTCAGATGAGACCAAAATCAAGCTCTTTGCCATCAACTCAACTCGCCTTGTTTGGAGGAGGAGGAATGCTGCCTATGACCCCAAGAACACCATGCCCACGTCAAACATGGAGGTGGAAACATTATGCTTTGGGGGTGTTTTTCTGCTAAGGGTACAGGACAACTTCACCGCATCTAAGGGACGATGGACGGGCCCATGTACCGTCAAATCTTGGGTGAGAACCTCCTTCCCTCAGCCAGGGTATTGAAAATGGGCCGTGGATGGGTATTCCAGAATGACAATGACCCAAAACATACGGCCAAGGCAACAAAGGAGTGGTTCAAGAAGAAGTACATTAAGGTCCTGGAGTGGCCTAGCCAGTCTCCAGACCTTAATCCCATTGAAAATCTGTGGAGGGAGCTGAAGGTTCGAGTTACCAAACATCAGCCTCGAAACCTTAATGACTTGGAGAAGATCTGCAAAGAGGAGTGGGACAAAATCCCTCCTGAGATGTGTGCAAACCTGGTGGCCAACTACAAGAAACGTCTGACCTCTGTGATTGCCAACAAGGGTTTTGCCACCAAGTACTAAGTCATGTTTTGCAGAGGGGTCATATACTTATTTCTCATTAAAATGCACATCAATTTATAACATTTTTTACATGCATTTTACTGGATTTTTTTGTTGTTATTCTGTCTCTCACTGTTCAAATAAACCTACCATTCAAATTATAGACCGATCATGTCTTTGTCAGTGGGCAAACGTACAAAATCAGCAGGGGACCAAATACTTTTTTCCCTCACTGTATATTCTGAATATTAAGGCATGTTAGCTGGCTAACTCATTTATCATGATTTGTAGTATACCCCTCTGGTGACTTTATGAGAGACCCCTCCCATCTATGCATAGAGTTTATGATCTACGATTTCTACACCTGTGGCTCATAACCCAGCCTAAAACACAAAATTAAGCCTAGTGAATCACTATACCAAGACTTTCTACCAATAAAAGTAAATGCTACAACTCATAGCCAGTTAACCTCTACCCCCAAGACTCACTGTCCATGATCAATAAACCACCATTTCCCTAGACACTAATATGTAAGGGCCTCCAGTTTTGTCTACAGTCTTCCTTTAGCATACCAGTAGCATCAGTATGGCACAAGTGAAAGACACCTCACAATGATGCAGGTGTCCCTTCTTAATACGTTTCTTAATCATACTTCTTAATATGGTCGGTTGAATGGTTGTATAATACAAATAAAAAAAGAATATGAACCTAACCTTTTCCCATTCAATCCAACAGTGTGGACATCCCCTTTTTTATACTGATGAGTTCAGGTGAACACAACAACTAAATGTGGTCCTCTGTAGCTCAGCTGGTAGAGCACGGCGCTTGTAACGCCAAGGTAGTGGGTTCGATCCCCGGGACCACCCATACACAAAAAATGTATGCACGCATGACTGTAAGTCGCTTTGGATAAAAGCGTCTGCTAAATGGCATATTATTTTATATTATTACTAAATAACTAGTACCCAACCCAACTGTAGAGATTAATCATTACCATGTGGTCACTGGAGCTCAAGAAAACCTTTGTGAAACCAAGTTGTGCCTTGGCAAAATAAGATTTATTCTGCATGACCAGAATATATAAGCAAGAGAATATCCCTTGGGGCCAAAAGCATTACACATTGGACATCAGTTCCTGACTATGACGATCCCTACAAATGGCTCCGGATGTCAGTCACCTGTTTGTTAGAACCGTTTAGTGTTACATTAACACACATATGTTTCCTACAGAACAGCTCCTAATTTGGCAGGGCATGGTTACCCACATGTTTCCTGTGTAAAGGGATGGGGGGTGGAGGGAGAGGTTGACTTTCACTTGTTTAGTATTAATCTCCCCTGTGAGAAGGGGAAGATACATGGTGGGAATAGGACTCACCTGTTTTCTAAGGTGAATGATGATATTACTGGATTTGGAAAGACTACCAGTACTTTCCTCCGTGGTCTTCAGTGCCGTCAAGGTACCTGAAACGAGGGACCAGAACAGTCAGCCTAAAGGGCGCTTTCAAGGTTGTCTTTATTGCATTTGCGCTGAGCAGATTATCAGACCTCACAACACCTGGAAAAGTGTTTAACATCTCAGGAACCACATTAATATGATATAGCGATCTCCTGAGATGCGTAGCGAGATTGCAAAGAAGACGACCAGGACCGTAACCATTACGACCGCAGACTCGTCTGAACCCACTGTGGCGTGAAGAAGACAGGAGGCTGCAGCCAAAATGGGCTGGCACACAAAGGAGGTGGTATTGGGAGAGTTAAGAATGTCAGGTGCTTGCGGACCTTTTGTTACCCCACGACCTGTGACCCCTGTTCTACTCGAGTGAGAAGAGGGGGAAAGTGAGAGCTCCCTGTCCTCATATATAAAACCATCGCTCTCTTCGTTCCTAAGGGTGAGTGAACGCAGACTGTGAAGTAAGGCTATGTTCTACTCAGGGAGCCAGGTGATGTGTGACCCTGTGACTGTATGACCTGTGACCCTTTACTGAGTTCAGTGAGGAGGGGAAGGAGGGATTTCCTCTTCTTCTACCCCTTTACTCAGAAGAGTGTCAAGTCGGGTTCACCCCAAAAAGGCATGGTGAGTAAAAGGGCTGGGAATTGCCAGGGACCTCACAAGATGGTATTATCACGATACTTAGGTGCCAATAAGATATGTATTGCGATTCTCCTGATTCTATATGTATTGTGATTCGATTGCGATTTAATGTTCCAAACATATTACTCACTATACAGTATGTCTGCTGCAGAGAGACAAGAGAGGATGAGAAAATGACTTTTGATCTGTCATGGAAATAAAAGTGCTGAAAACATGGTGGCTCACTATTTAATAATAAAATAAAAAATAAAAAAATATTTAAAAAGAAGATGGAAAACAAGCTGAAAAGGATGAAAAATACAGGAGTTTTGGCGCAAGTACAGCCGACTAGCGCTAGCTAACTCTACCTAGCGGACAATATTTGAATTGATACTTGAAGTCAAAGTATTGACATAATATCATCCAAAAGAGTATTGCGAATTGTAACTGTATCGATTTTTTCCCCATCAGTAGTGAGTACCTATGTCAGTACAGAACATTGCAGTGCCCTGGGTTGGAATTACCTGTGGGGCTTCCCCAGGGATTGGTGATCTTGTGGACTTTGAGTGGAGCGCCAGCAAACTTGGCATAGGCCTAAGAGAAAGAAAGATAGAGAAACGGATGAGAAAAATGTGCCATGACTCTATATAACATAAGCCATTTAGCAGAAATTTTTATCCAAAGCGATTTACAGTAATGTGTGCGTACATTTTACGTATTAGCTGCCCCAGGAATCGAACCCACAACCCTGGCGGTGCAAGCGCCATGCTCTACCAACTGAGCCATACAGGACCACAATAATGGAGTCTTCTGAATTACTTTGGCGCCTCCTACTTTATGACACGAGACGCCTCATTTACCACAGAGAATCTAATCCAGCAAGAAAACCACCACTTCATCTAGATCGCACTGACGAAAATTACATGTCTTTGGAACTGAAGAGAGGTGCATTACTCTTTTCCTGCCAAAATACCAGATTATATCACTCATTACCTTCTTGAAAAATCTGTGAGTGTAAAAACAACACAACGGCTCCTTCAAAGACAGAGGGATCTTGTTAGGAAGACTCAAAAGGCAGGAATATACAGGATTATCCTGGCTTTACAAGACAAAGGTGTACAGCGCTCCGAAACCCTTAAGGGCACATCACTAGCCTTATGCTGACAGGGCAAGTGTCTCTGAATTTTTCCATTTACCTCAATTTTAAGTTAAACCCTGGGACATGTCAGGCCAACAAAATGAAATGACCAACCTGTGCTCCCTAAATTATGCCCCTTGAAAGTTGAGGGGGAGGGGTGATACATTCAATATATTAAAACAATAATTGATTTGGCATGAAGTAGGCTAAAAGTAGTCACCCTTACAGGGTTAACTTAAATCTAGCTGGGTTGTGGTGTTAGTGGTAGGAGGAGTAGGAGGGGGAAGAAAAATGAGAGGAGGAGGGTCTTTCTGAGTTTCAAACCCCCCATTTTCTGAACCTGCCAGAAAACCGCAGTTAAAAAACATTAAACACAGATACCCTCGCCCACGGGACTGTTGGCAAATTCCGTTGAGGATTGAGGCACTCTGTGGTGAGATGAGGGACAAGCTCGGAGCACTCTATAAATCATTCTAGTTTTTGGGTGTCTGCAGGGATGGAGTGGAACGCATAGCCTATTTCACATAGAGAGGGCAATAAAAACCTACAGGACAGTAAACAAACACAGGCTGCCATTTATGACGAAATACAAGCCAAGTACGCTAGCCTCAACTTGGCCCAAATTTCAAATGTATTTAGAAATTCATCTTGGAAACATTTAAAATGAAGGCCTGAACAGGAGGGAATAAGTACAAAACCTGGGAATTTTAGGAAGGTTACTGGAATGTTGCAACCCTACACCTGACCAAGATACCTTTATTGTTAAAGGTATATTCGTCTCGGGCCTAACAACACCTGTGCCAATATATCCTCCAAACACCGGCATCTCGGGCATTATCACTTAAGTAAAAAACAGGTAACTAGAAAGTCAAAGAATGAAGACAGCAGCGGACCAGAACGTTGGTACCCCTCCCGCATGAGGTTTAGCTGAAGTGCACCCCTCTCTCCCTCAGAGTAGGCCATGGCCTCTGTGTGTGAATGTAGTTATAATAATAGGGAAGGCTCAGGGCATTGTGGCTACTACCATACGTTAGAAACCATACCCCATCCCTCTCGTGTGGGTTCAGTAATGGGAAACCCCACTTTGTTGTAGACGAGAATGAAAACCATTACATTTTTCCCTGCCACAGGAAAAATTATGGGAGTGTTTCCTTCTCTCTGTGGGATTTGCCAGACGCTTTTAAATCCCCTTTCCTGCAGAAAAAAGCTATTTAGGTTTGCCAGCTGAAGTGTGTCTAGCTCGAGGGACACGAAAGAAACGTTCAGATCTAGATCACTAACCTAGTAGCCTAAGTGATTAAACAGAAGCTGTGACCTGAACATTGTTCATTAACATGGTTTTAACTACTGCGGAATATGCCATAGCTGCCCGAGATGGGGAGAGAGATGAGATCTATGGTCAGACTATATAGATACAAATCATGGAAGTTGAGAAAGCTCGACAAGCATTTGGGTTTTAGACCCCCTAAAAATACATGACAAGGCCACAGAAATTGTGAGAGGCCTTTATGGGTCGGCAGGAAATTTCCTTGTGGCTCCCAATCTACACATTTTTTGTTGGAATTTATGCACTGGTGCCATGGTAACCAAGTAGGTGTGGGGCATGTTATCAAGATAACTCTAGTAAGGACTTTTACCCAGTGTTGTAGTACTCGGTCCTGTCTCAGTGTCTGATACATTTTTACTCGGTCTTGACTGAGACCACAATTTCTTCCCGAGACCAGCCTAGACCAGAGGAGTAAAAAAACTCATAATTATCAGCGCATAAAAGCACTTCGCCAGGCCAAATATATATATTCCTTTCTTGAAACATTAATATATCTTATCGCCTATTGAAACCTGGGATTCCTACTTTACTCATAACATTACTGTCCTTCACTTTCATAAAAAAATATCCTCAAACCTTGTCACAATTTCCTTGACTCGCTGGTAGGGAAATTGTTGGAAAGTTGTGTGCTCACTATTAGTAAAGGTGAGACTGGGAAATTGTAACAGTCTTTATATGTATTTATTATATAGAAATGTTTGCGCAGTGGCAAACCTATTGGACCTAGGCCTCCAGTGTGTGTCAGGCTCGTGATGCTGAAAGGACAGCAACCGTAATACAAGCGAACTCATGTAGGAGAGTGCACTTTTTCCCTTACGAAAAAAGATTGCAGTCAGAGTGCAGTATAACTGCAGTTAGAGTGCAGTATAACTATAGTATGCTGCAAATACTGTGTCCAAATATTTATGTTAACTTTCCCTTTCTTGGCTTTGCTCAAGTTTCTTTGAACCCCGCTAGTGATGGTGATGGCTGCATGCTGTTTAGACAGCTGCACTGGACAGTGAGATAATCAATGCTGTGGTAAATGAAACAGGCCAGCCAGGGTCCAAAGCAAGTCCCTATAACACCAACAAAGGTGAGAGCCGGTCACTTTCCAGTGCCACCATTTACAATGATATCAACATTAATTGTGTGTTAGTTAGATGAACAGACATAGAATTAGGATTTAGAATAATGTAATAGGATCTCTACGTTAACAGCCCTCTGAGGTTCACTGGGGGAATTAACCATATGAATTACCCTATGCCAAATACAAAGCAAACACTAGGCTAACCCCTTAATGGTTAAAACTGTCAATGATCTCAAACAAACACCATCTGGTAATCATGGTCATGAAATAGCCTAGCCTCGTGTTTACTGTCCATAAATATTTCAGTGTATGACCTCAGAGAATTGTATATTTAGTTAGTAGTAGTAAATTAATCTAAACTAAAAGTAATTGCCATTGTAAATAATGTACATATTTCACTTCACAAATTAATGCGTATTGTGGACTGGACATTGCAGTGGCCATTTATCAGCCACTATATTCTTCTTAGGTGAGGTTTAATGGCAGTTGGCATCCAATATGTTGCATTACAGCTACCAACTGGACTGGAGTATAAATCCATTATACTTTGTGATACAAAATGGGAAAACAAAAAAACTATTACCCTGCCAACCAATGTTCCCTCAAATTTTTTTCAGCCATGAGCAAATTTCAGGTCTGCAGCTCTGATTGTTTATGCCGCACAGGTCTGTGTAGAGTACGGGCTGAGTAGTGTGTGTCAATGAAAGTGGCTAATATTGCGTTGATTCGATCACAATTGCCACAGTAAAGGGAAACATTGACAGTGTTAACAGGGAAAAATCTAGAACAGTGGTCACCAACATTTTCTGAGTTAAGATCACTTTGAGTCAAAATGCAAGCCGAGATCTACCGCT